TGGGGGGGCACACCACCCCGGCAGCGAGGATGATGGAGCCCGAACTGATGGAGGTGATCCAGGGTCCCGTGCCACCCCCGGAGCTGTCTCCTGCTGCCTATATCAACGCCGTACAGTATGCCAACGTCCTGGAAGGGAGATTCAAGCAACTTCAAGGTAGGGGGGGCCGGAATGGCGATCCAGTGGGGTGTCTTGGTGGAGGATAGGGGGGAAGTCACCAATCCCTGCCCCCCCCAAAAAAACCCACCTCTCACCCCCAAATTTTACCGGTGGTGGCGGAGGGCACTCTTAATCCGAGAGGTGCTGCCGGGAATTAGCTAAACGCACACATTTATTAGCCGTTCCTGGCTAGGATTCTTTGGGGCCGTGTTCGGGCTTGGCGTGAGGGGTGTGGGGCTTTATAGGGAACCCCCCCATTTTTGGGAAAAATGAAGGCAAGCCCCGGGTGGGGCAGAGAGACCTTGCCAAGAGAGAAAGCCAGATGGGAGTCGTGGCAGATGGTTTGGAGAGGTCCGTGGGCTCCCCGCCGTGTGGGTCCACACTGCGCACTTTTTAAAAAAAGCTCACTTTGAGCCTTGGGGGGGTTGAAATGGCCAGATTGACCCCCAACGATCCCCACCCCGAAGGTCACCCTTTTATTTATTTTCAAAAATTCCTCTCTCTCTCTCTCGCCCCGCCAGCCTCCCATTTCCAAACGGCCCGTCAGGTTAGCAAACAAGCCGTAAACAAGCCTTTGGGAGACGGTTGTGGGAGGGGGGGGGAGGTGAAACGGCCGCGGGATCAGGACTTTTGGGGGGAGGAAGGCAAAAAAAAAAATGGAAAAGGAAAATGGAAAAGGAAAACTCCGGCGCTTGCAAAAGCGGCTCTAAAAGCCACGGCCGGGAACAAAATAAATCCTCCATTAAGCCTCGGGAACATAACGTGGCTTTCCCTTGGCAGACAGAAGCCCGGGACGTCAGCAGAACCTCGGTTTTTTCCCGGGTGGGTAATCTTCATTTTAGTGATACACACACACATACACACGCACACACACAGCAAAAAAGGCATTTTGACGTGGGTGAGCAACCCCGTCTCCTCTGAAGGCAGTAATATGTGCCTTGGGTATAAGAGGCATTTTCATTGCCCTGTCACCTCTCCTGCTACTATTTCGTCTCTTGTCTTTGGGACCTGCAAGGTGTGTTAACTAGCTTTTTGTGCCAGTCAAGCTTCTAGACCTCACTGAGGCCATGGAACTTTACACGGGCTGTGTCAGAGCCGCCCTTCTGAGCCTTTCCCTCTCTCGGTGTGATCATCAAATGGGGACGAGGAGAGCCATCTGTGCTCTTTGAGTGAAGGAAGAGGCAGGCTGTAATTATAATTAACTAATTACATAAATCAAGCGCTCTTACCTGCTCTTAGAGAACCCCGGAAACTGTACTGGTCTGTGAGCCTCAAAATATTTTTTTTTTACTATAGTATGGCAGTGAGGATCCAGAGGCCGGGAGTTTGATTCCCCTCCGAGTCCTCGCTATTTAGGAAACCCCCAAAACCATCACCCTAAGCCGGAGTTGATGCCCTATGATTATTATTTTATTATTGTGACTTCCCTTTAGGGGGGGTTGTGGGTCATGAAAATAACTGTGGGTGGGCGAGCTTCTAGCGTGACTTTGCAAGATTGTAAAAAAAAAAACAACCAATAGATTTCAGGGGCTTGATGTGACCACCTGGTTTTCCATTTTGTCTGTGGGGGGGATCCTCGCACTGTCTTGGATTAGTTGATATACAGGGCAATACATCTGGTGATGGGACATAAATCGGGTTTTTTGCGTGCACGTGGGCTACATGGAGAAGAAGGGAGAACGTTATTGTTTCTGTAGTTTTATTTGGGTTTTGCAAACCGAAACCCGTGATGTGTTCTCATCATGCAAAATCTCACAGATTAAGACACACACATCCCTCTGAAACAGGGATTTAAGGTTGCTGATTTAGGCTTGATTTATAACTAACGGCGAATTTCTGGCTTTTACTTTATGTGCAGGGGAAGATAATACAAGACAATGTCACTGCGGTTCCAGTATTTCTCTGGTTCTGTGGAAGAAGGCTCTGACGCCCGTGTCTGTCCTCTGCTTAATGCTTGCATGCCCGCTAAATTAAGATACACAAAAGTGTTGTAATGTCCCTGTGTGTCAGGATAGTGGTGTTGGGCTTTGTAAATTGTGGGACCAGAGAGACACTGGAACCGCACGGACATTGTCTTGTTATCTTCCACACTGCACATAAAGTAAAAGCACAGCGTCCACCCCAGAGGTCCGGTTAAGGCCGAACTGAATTTAATAAAATTTGATGATCACTATTCATTCATTCAATTCTTAACCCAGCCAACGTCCCAAGATCTTGTCCTGTTAATAACTCTTTCCAATTCCCCCTGTATCTCTACGACTACCTTCTCTCTAACGCATCAACGGCCCTACCTGCCTAAAAACTGTCATTAACTCTCTTTTCGTCTCCTTTTATTCTCTTGGTCCCGCCCCTCCTGTCCTCTCATAGGCTCCTTCACCCGAGCTCTCGACCTGACGGACAGGAGTGATCTGAGAGCAGTCCGTCACACTATAAGCCTTTTTGGAAGGTTACTAGAATTCATAGTTGGATACCAGGCCCAGCTAGAATGTGTGCAGAGCATCATCCCCTTATTTGCGGTCCTGAATCAGATACTCAGAAGGCGACAAATATAATTTACCGACATCTTTATTACATTTAGAATTCACGGGGGGGGGAAATTCATGGGGGAACGAGGTAGATTCTTCTACTCCTGAGGTTTCCAGCTGTTTTGCTTCTCTCTGCTTAACTTTTCTTCCTTTCCCCCTGAGCTTTGGTGCCTCGCTTGTCCTTTTTTGGGTAGCAGGCTCTGAGGAGGGCAAAAAATTTGCTTGGCTTTCGGGCGGTACCTCTTTGTCCCGACCTGCTTTGATTGCCAGGGTCCACCTTGGGATCAGGTTTTCGCTTGGGCTGAGAGCTGCTCTCCTTGGTAGCTGAGTTGCTGGGGGTGGAGATTGCCTCGGTCTTCTCGCTCGTTGGACTTTTGTGTCTGGGAATTGCCTCGGTCTTCTCGCTCGTTGCTTCTGTCATCTCTTCCTCCTCCTCCAATTTGCTAAAAGGAGTTTGATGGCCCTCTTGTTTTTCTGCCACCTCCTCCCTTTCTGGGGATGGATGAGGGTCTTGTGCTTTCCCAGACTTGACTTTGGAAGGTGGGGTGGCGACCGGAGGGCTGGTGATGCTCTCCGAAGACGGGGGTGGCTTGCGTCTCTTCTTGACCTCCTTCTGACGCGTTCTGGCCCTTTTGGGAGGATAGTGACTGCTCTTGGTTGCAGTTCTGCGTCGAGAAGATTTGCTCTGCTTCGCAGCCCGTTGCGTTTCCTGGGGCTTTCTTTGGCCCTTTGCTTTTGTCTGCTGCTCCTTCTTCTCACTAAGAGTGGCTTCCGAAGTTCGCCGCAGCAGTTGCACCATCCTGATCCAGGCGTCAAAAAGGTCTTCTTGCCTTTTGGAATCCGGGCTCAGCTGGAGGTAGAAAGTCCGGCCATTTGCTAGTTTAAACCGCAGCTGTTGTCGTTCTGCGTCATGGATCGTGATCTTGACCAAGCGCAAAGGAAGCAACCTTGTGAGCTCGTATCTCGTTGGAGGGTGACGAGGGGACTTGCTTTTGAGTTTCGGCGTATGCTCTTCCGGAGGGCCGAGGGGCCGAGCCACGAGCAGCACATCGGGAATCAATAGGAGAGGGCTTTTCGAGGTAATGGCGACCGTCACAATTTCTTCCTGGTTGTGGATCTGGCTTGTCTGCCCTTGCTTGTTGATCTGGACAAAGTTACTTTCAAACATAGGGGAAAACTTGAACAATCCGTATTCTCCTTGGCATAGCTGTGTCTGGAGTGGCCCCATTTTCCAGGTCAGATAGCCTTTTTCATGGACCATCGCTTGGACCATCACATTGAGATTGTACACACTTCAACTGATGTTGTCTTACTGTCAACATCTGCCATTCAGAGCCTCTCCTCCTTTGACACACGAAGCTGTTTATGACATCACTGGTGTGTCTGATACCTTTTTTTTTTTAAAAAGCCAATCACCATTGACTTGAAAGTCATCTCAAAAATGAAAGCTTGAAAGCCAACCTCAACAATGTCAACAAATGCTTGATTACTATGCTCTCTTGTGTTACAGCATCTTCCACTGCCCATAAAGTAAAGTCTTGTGGTACAGCATCTTCCACTGCCCATAAAGTAAAAAGCATAGGGTCCTCTCCAGTGCCTAATTGGGTTTAATAAAAAAATTTGCTGATCCGTGCCGGTTCAGCACTTAAAAAAAAAAAGAAAGAATTTCCTTTTGAAATTTTTGTTTTTCTTTGTTTTTAAAATATCGCAGTCGGGTGACTGACCCCGTGAGCCTCCCCCCCCCCGGATTCTGCACACGGCTGGTTTTTCACATCCCGTGTGCGGGTCTGCTTTGAAACGGATCTGTCCGTCTCTTGTGTGGATGGCGGATGCGAGAGCATTATGGGATGGGGGGAAACGGGCGTTTATAACACATCACAGGATCGTGGTAAATGACATTTGTGGTTCGAGTTTGTGATATCAACGTGCTTCTCCATCCTTCAGCCGAAGTTTGAGCTTATTGTGGGGCCACGTTGGCGGTGGTTCTCTTTCAAATCTGGACCGATATTGCGTCTGTTTTAGTGGCCATTGAAAAAACATGTCCCTTTCGCTCTGGCCATTCACAAAAGTTGTGCAAATTTTACATTCAACCTTTCAATTTTACATCCGGTTCTCATCCGGATTTGTTTCCATCGGCGTGGTCCTTCGCTTGATTGCATTGTGTTGCGGTTTTGTGCGTATGTACCTGTTGTACGTCGCCGTCGTATCCTAAAAGGAAAGGTGTCTCAAAAATAACTTGAATAAATGGAATTACTGTATAGCGTCACCTGGTCCGATAGGATGTCAGAATGAGCATCTGGGTTACTTGCAACCATTTTTTATTTTTAGGTGCTGATTTTGTGTAGGTGTGAGCAGGAGGTGGATCTTGGTATATCACTGGGTGATTTTCAGTAGACATGAAGGATTTCCAACCCCCCCAGTGGTTTTACAACAGCAGTTCCAAAACGACGCCCTGACTGCCAATTTTCTAAAAAGGAAGAAAGCTTTGGATGACTAGAAACAAATTTAGATGTGGAAAAACTGTGGGTCTTGTTCATTTTTTCTTGCAATCCAAAATAAATTCTTTAATGGGAAGCACGGCCTTTTCTCTCCCCCCCCCCCCC